CTCTCTCTCTCTCTCTCTCTCTCGCTCTTTTTAGTCTTTAATGTTACACACACACACACATGTTAAGACCTGTTTCTACTATACAGTATATTCCTCTTGACACCTCATGTTTACCTGGGATTGTACAAAGCATTTTGACAATTTTTGGACAGTTTGACATTTTACACTCAGTTTAATGCACTTTTATATGCTTTTTTATATCAAACAACCTGTAAAAAAAAAAAAGTTTAAACAAACTTGAGTGAATCGTTTCTTATGACCTTAAAATAGTTTTCATATTTTATAGGCCTACTTCAAATATAATTTGTGACCAGTGACTATGAATTGTATTGTTATTTAATTTTTATTTAATTGCAGTTTAAAAGGTTTTGTTTGCTATAGGCCTAGGCTACATAATTCCCTCTTTTAAGACCGGGGTAGTTGTCACACTTTTGAATATATATTTTAGGTTATAATGAATATTAATTAAACGTGTTTTGAAGTACGTTTAAAAAAACTGCTAGTAGTGAAAACACACATTTGTCTAATTTATAGTTTTGGCATATAGCCTTTGTGACAGTCTTCCTGTGTGTCCTGATCTGTCCTACATCTTAATTTTTAATTTACAGCATACCTTTTTAATGATTCAGTCTCTGTTTTAAGCTTGCAGAAACAACATGTTGCTGTTGCGTGTAGTGCATTTGATTAACATAGGCTATTTTCGATTTGTTCTATATAGGCCTAAATGATACACATTATGTATTAGGGCAAACGCACCTCACACAGATCAAAGGACTATAATGGGCGATTTGGCTTGCTTGTCTTTTTAATGGGGTTTTATAAAGGAGCTCATTCAAAAGTCAAAAAGGCGTAAGATGCGATTTCACGCCTTTTTAGGTTCATCCTTAAGTGGCCACCAGTACACGATAACAGCTGTGTGTCAGACGGTGTGTATGTACGTTTGTTTGTACGCGCTGAGGTGAACGGACACTTGAGCGTCCCCCGGCAAACGAAGCGGGCGCCGCACGAGCCAGTTCCCGTTCATCTCTCCGGTTGCTGGGCGCCAAGACAAACTCATGCTCTTGTTTGAGCAGAACACAATTACAGACGCGCGCGTAAATATTTGCTCAGAAAACAGACTCCCCACGAGCTTTGGGTATAAATGAGCAAACCGCTAATTATCCATAACGCACGACTTCGCGAGCGACATCCATAGCATTACACGGTAAGAGAGACCCACTGGTCACATTTTAACATTTTCTGAAATAACAAACGAGTCTAACTAAATGACTTTCTTTCTTTCTTTGAGAATAGAAAGATAAGTAGTCACATTTAAATATTATTCTTATGCATACCGGTTTTTTTTTAGCCTATATCAAAACAAACAAAAAAACTTGTCGCAATCTTAGGCTATACACAATAATGCAGAATGACACACACACACACACACACACACACACACACACACACACACATGT